AAAAGCCAAAAGAAAAATTGTGCTGGTCCAAAAGACATAGAAAATTTGCTAAAAATGTAATTTAAATAAATGGAAAATTTAAAGAAATAAATTATTGGAGAACTAAATTAATTGAAAAATGAATATATAAATGAGTATAAAAAATTAATATGTTGCCTAATTTATATTCAGCAGATGAATTAAACTTTTCACTAAATGTGAAAATTGATACATGAAACTTATTTCATCAATTACAGAGTCCTAAATAAAGTGAAGAAGTATAAAAAAGCTCATAATATATTTAACTAGATGTAACAAATCTAGATTTTTTGTAGATTTTGAATAAATAAATATGATGAGTTTATTTCCAATACTTTTATTACAAGTTTTACAATATGCAAATAATACAAATGATTTGATTCAATCATAATACATCAATGATTTTCTTCCTACTATGAATTTTCAGGTGTATCCTCAAATCCTTCGATTCAGTAAATCCCTTATTGCATACTTCACATTTATAAGGACGATATTCATAATGAATCATCGTGTGTCTTTTCAGATTGCATAATAGAGTGAATGTCTTATTGCATATACTGCATTCATGGGGCCGTTTTCCATTGTGCTTCAGCATGTGACGTTTCAGATCACTTGATTTCGTGAATGACTTATTGCATATACTGCATTCATGGGGACGAAGTCCATTATGCACCAGCATGTGTTTTTTCAGGTTACCCAATAGTGTGAATGTCTTATTACATGTGTTGCATTCGTGGGAGCGTACTCCATTGTGTGTCAGCATGTGGATTTTCAGATTGCTTAATTGTGTGAATGTCTTATTGCATATATTGCATTTGTGGGGGCGCTTACCACTGTGAATGAGCATATGACTTTTTAGGTTGCTTAATTTTGTGAATGTCTTATTGCATATATTGCAGTCGTGGGGGCGTAATCCATTGTGTATCAGCATGTGACTTTTCAGATGACTTGATAGTTTGAAAGTCATATGACAGATTCGCATTTGAAAGGGCGTTCTTTGCTATGACTAGGTTTGTGAACGACCATATGCTCTTTCAATTGGTGTGATTCTGGAAATGATTGATTACAAATGCCACATTTATAAGTGGATGTCTCGATTAAATCCTGTTCGACTTCTTCTTCTATGGAAACTTCAGACATCTTGGATCTTCCTAAACATGTTTCATCGTCCTCAGAACACGATTCAGATTCCACAATAGCATCAGGATCATCTAAATCATCTTCAATTTCGTGTTTAATTTCTTCTACTGAATATTCAGGAGGTTCAGTTTTAATTGTCTGATGATTCATAGACATAATTGTTTCTTCTGTCATTTTTGAATAATTTCACTGCTTATACTAAATATCATAATCAATTTTAATCAGCAATTGATTTCTAATTATTAATTCTAACATGATGAATGTGCTATTAAACTCAGAACTAAGCATGCTATTAAAATAATATTTAAACCCATACTAGAACTACCAAGCAAGTAATCATTCGAATCATAAAATTCAATGCTTTAATAATTTTGTTAAGTAATTTAAAATATTTTGGGTAATCACTGTTCTCCAATAAATACATTCGTGCCAGGATAACTTATAACAGTAACTAATAACATATAATAATAACTAATTTTGCACAAACTGCAAGTCATATTAGGATTCGCCGAATGTCAAATATTTCTTGCACAACTAACTTAAATTATTTCTAAAGTACTCACTTCACGAGGGGGTCCTCCTAATTGCCATGTTTTCCGAACCAAATCCGAGAATAAAATGAATCTTCTTATATCGAATGAATTAAATAATGAATTCTTATATTGTCTAAGAAAATGAATTGTTTATTAATTTCAGGTTAACATTTTTTGACAGCTAGTCATAGATTTATATAAAGATGTGACACCGCAGAGTTTTCTACCGATCGTAGATGGCGCAAACTACAGCGCCAATTTTGAATTTAAATTCTAACAAAAAACTATTATTATAACCATAATAATATAAATTTAATTACTATACTAGTTGTACAAATAATATATTATAAATAAATATAATAAATTGTCAAGGTGCTCAAAATACTTGCTTTAACATTATTTTAAATAAATTAGTTCATGTTAAATATCATTTGTAACACATTGCAAATATAATAAGTATTATTGTGTTACTTATTTAATATTGTATAACTTTAGCAAATATTTTATTTATATTAAATTAAATTTCAAAAGATATGATATTTCATTTGAAGTTACAAGAGATATAATAAAAATAAAGTCATCATGCTTTGTTTCAAGTGATAAATTTGTAGTTTACAATTATAATATTAAATTATATCAAGTGGCTGCAGATTAGTATAATGATAGAAAATATTATAAATTGATTTCTAATATTTCAAATATTTTATTAATAGAAATATTTTATTAAAATAATATGTTACCTTATAATATTAAAAAAATATTTATATTTGTAAAGTTGTGAAAATGTTGTAAAAAATATGAAGTATAGGCACTGAATACACTGTCTAATCACAAAAAAGAAATAAATAGTTTGAGAATGCCTTTCTGCTTTAAATCCTACTTTAAATATATATATATATATATATATATATATATATATATATTATACAATTTGATTTATACACGATTATATATATAGTAGCTGTCTCGGTTTGTATGTGAATTGGATATATAAATGCATATATTGATTTATATATAGCCTAGCTGCCTTAGTTTGTATGAGAATTGGATATATAAATGTATATATTGATTTATACATAATTATATATGGCCTAACTGCCTCAGTTTGTATGAGAATTGGATATTTAAATGTATATATTGATTTATACATGATTATATATGGCCTAGCTGCCTTAGTTTGTATGAGAATTGGATATATAAATGTATATATTGATTTATACATAATTATATATGGCCTAACTGCCTCAGTTTGTATGAGCATTGGATATTTAAATGTATATATTGATTTATACATGATTATATATGGCCTAGCTGCCTTAGTTTGTATGAGAATTGGATATATAAATGTATATATTGATTTATGCATGATTATATATATACTAGCTGTCTTAGTTTGTATGGGAATTGGATATATAAATGTATATATTGATTTATACATGATTATAAATATATATATACTAGCTGTCTCAGTTTATATGGGAATCAGATATATACATGTATATATCGATTTATACATGATTATATATATACTAGCTATCTCGGTTTGTATGAAAATGAGATATATAAATGTATATATTGATTAGATGCAGCATATTAGTATAATGATAGACAATATTATAAATTTATTTCGAACATTTCTCAGATACTTTATTAATATTAATTGCAGAAAGTTCTCATTCAGGAAGCTAATTAAATAAAAAATGTTGATGATATGAATATATTTTATTAAAATAATGATGTTACCTTAAAATATTCAAAAACTATTTAAATTTGTAAAATTGTGAAAATAATGAGAAAAATATAAAGTTTAGTCAAAATACCGATTTATAATTATCACCATTTACAAAGAAATGCACGATTCCTATGAGAAATATTAAGATTTATAAAATTTTGCATTTTTTATTTATTTTAATTATAATGTTTAACTAAATTTATATCTATTGAAGTCTTCGTATATATATTTAAATATAATAATTATTTTCTGTGATAAATTTAAACGTTTTACATGGACAAAGAGAAAGAAGTGTGAATGGTATATAAAATTCTTCCACATGGCTGTGTTCGAACAAAGACTTACAAATTAACATTGTGCTGATGAGTTATAATTTAAAATATCACGTACTCATTTTTATTAAAGTATATAAAGAACACACAGCTTATAAAAAAAAAGAAAATTGAAAGACCTAAAGAATATCTTTTTAAGCTAATTAAATCTAACGTTATACATATGTTAAATTACTAATTAATTAAATAACGAACTAATTAATTTATCTGTCAAAGTAGTTGAAATAAATAATTAGTCTCTGAGCAATTAATATATAAGTAAAATTGCAAAGGCAGCCTTGATAATCTCAAATCGAAAATTATATTTTACTTTATGAAAAATAAATGACTTCAAATATATATATGTTGACTCTATATTAAGAAATATTAGATTTTTAGTTCCCTATAATATTTTTTGACATTTAGTCCTGAAATATAAAAATTACTAATGGTAATAAATAACATTGTTCACAAATTTAAACTGTTAACGTTTTTTTTTTTTCAAAATGTCGATTTAGGAGAAGATTGTTCATGATCTTTGTTGTAATATCAAATGTTTTATTATTATTATTAATATAAACAATTAATAGATTTTAAATAATTTATTTCAAGAAATTTTAATATAACATGCCATCATCAGCAAACATTTTGCTATAAAAATAACAATATTGTGGCAGGATAAGATTACAATAACTTGAAATATTAACAAAAGTGGCAATTCTTTAGTTGAATTTTATTTGAAGACCTTTCCTTGGTTGAACTTGCGTCCGTTCTTATCGGCACCTTCCCAGGAGAAGTATTGCTTGACTAATTTCTTGGTCTCTTCTGATTTGGGGTCCAATTTGACCCAGTTGTAGGTTTCGTAGTCAATTTGCCAGTCAGGGGAAAGCTGGAATAACAGAATTCTTTAGGATTTTGAATTTAAATTATAATATTATATATTTTTTAAATGAAGTATGTTTGATAGCAACAGTATTTCAACAATAATGAAATGTTTTGTCGTTGAAAAATTAAATGTTACCATCGCTTACTATATCTCTTTGAGTTACAGTAAAGATGAATGTAGTCATCAAGACTGCCTTTGAAAGAGAAACAATATTGAAGATTATGATATTTAATATCAAACCAAGATGGTTTGTAATGCATTTGTATTTTGATTATTAGAAAACTAATTAATTTAATTTGAAGTTAAAATATGCAAATTCAAAAATCAAGTAAATTTATATGAAGCCACAAATAGAAATAAGGAGACCAAGTTAATAAAAATTTGGTCATAAATCAATAAATTTAAATAATAATAAGTAATAAACAAGTTAAATGATTATATATTCAAATAGAATATGTAAGTAAAAGTCAATTAGAATTTATAATTTAAATTCAAGTAAAATCAATAAATAGAAGGTAAATAAAATAAAAATCAAATAAAATTAACGAACAAGAAGAAAGTGAAACAAATGAATAAAAAATAAATGAAATCAATAAGACAAAATACCTAAAATCAAGTATAATGAATGAAAAACAAAAGTAAAATAAATAAAAAAAAAAAAATTAGTTAAAGAAAGACAAGTACAATAAATAAATATAAAGTCAAATCATATAATTAAGTTAAAAAAAATAATTTTGTAATTTAGGTTTTAAATAAATTCAACAAAATATAAATTGTATATTAAAAAGAAAGTTAAATAATTATATAGTCAAGTAGAATATATAAATAAAAATCAATTAGAATTTATAAATTAAATTGAAGCGGGATGAATAAATAGAAAGTCAAATAAAATGAATAAAAATCAAGTAAAAGTCAAATATTATAGAATAAATAAACTAAATCGATAAGTAAAAGACAGAATAAAACGAAATAAAAAATAATGTAAGTTAAATAAGAGACAAAATAAATAAATCAAATGAATAAATGAAAATGAAGTTAATATAATTAAACTAGAAAATTGTAAATTTTCTAACTCAATTTTTAATTAAATTAAATTGAAACAAAATAAATAAAATAAATTTTAAATTGAAATAAAGTTAATTATATAATGAAGTAGAATATATAAATAAAAATCAATTCGAATTAATAAATTGAATTCAAAAGGATAAATAAAAAGCAAATAAAATAATAAAGTAAAATTAATTAATGAGAATAAAATAAAGTAAATAGAAAGAAATCAAATACAATGAATAAATAACTAAATAAAATAAAAAACAAATAGAATAAATAAATCAAATAAATAAATAAGACAAAAAGAATGATGAAAAATAAAGTTAAATATTATAATTAACTGAATTAAATTGTAATTTGGCAATTTAAGTTTTAAACAAATTTGAACAAAATATAAAATAAATTATAAATTAAAATAAAGTAAAATAATTATGTAATCAAATAGAATATATAAAGAAAAATCAATTAAAATTAATAAATTAAATTCAAGTAGTTATCCTAATAAAGTCCAAAATAAAAATTAAGCAAGATTAATGAGAAGTAAAATAAAAAGTGAAATGAAATAAAATAAAATAACTAAAATTAATAAAACAACTAAAAATCAAGTAAAACAAAAAATAGAATAAAGCAAAATAAATAAAAAAATGAAATGAAGTAAAATAAATGAAAAAGAAATAAAATAAATAAGGCAAGAAAAATAAACAAAAATAAAGTTAATATAATTAAGTTTTAAAAAAATGTAATTTTATAACTTAAGTTTTAATTAAATTAAACAAATTTGAAGAAAATAAAATATAAATTATAAATTAAAATAAAGTTAATTATATAGTCAAGTAAAATGTAAACATAAAAATCAAATTAAAAAATTAAATTGAAGTGGGATAAATAAATAGAAGCCAAATAAAATAAAATAAATAATCAAGTAAAATTAATGAGAATAAAGTCATATAGAATGAATAAATAACTAAATAAAATCAATAAGTAAAAGACAAATAATAAAAAAAAAAAACAAGTAAATGAAAAATGAAGCAAAATAAATAAAAAAAACAATTGTATAAAGAAATCGGTTAAATAAGTCAAGAAAATAAAAATAAAGTTAAATATATGATAAAGTTAAAAAAACTAAAATTGTAACTGAAGTTTTAATTAAAAATAAGGAAAACAAATTTAAAGAAATTAGATAATTCAAATTATAAATTAAAAGAAAGTGAAATAAATATAGTCAAGTAGAATGCATACATATAAAAATCAAATTAATAAATTAAATTCAAGATAAATAAATAGAAGTCAAATAAAAAAATAAATTAATGAGAAGTAAAAATAAATAAAAGTCAAATAAAATAAAATTGAGTAAAATAAATAAAAGTAAAATAAAATAAATAGTGAGAAGAGAATAAAAAAAGTCAAATAAAATCAATAAATAGAAGACAAAATAAATAAAATCAAGTAAAATAAAAGTCGAATTAAATAAATAAAGTAATAAAAATAAAGTTAAATAAATAAAAATAAGTCAAGTAATATAATTAATTTAAAAATTGTATCTTTATAACAAAGTATTAAATGAAATAGATTTAAACAAAATTTGAATATAAATAACTTAAATAAAATCTAAAAAAAAAAGTCCAATCAATTTGATTTAAGTGGATCCATAAGTAAGTCAAAAGAATTATTAGGTCAAATATTATTTAGTACTTACATTGAATGCTAATTCCTGACCCCTCCATACCCAAACACCAGAAATGCTGCTGTTATTGTCTTCACCGAACAGACATACAGATGAGAAAGCCTGCTTTCGCATCTTGTCCAAACGTTGGAACATACCTACATAAAAAAAACAGATTACATTTAAAAAATAAACACAGAGAATCAATTTTACATTATTTTTTTTATCATTTACCTGTAATCAAGTTACAGCTCATGAACACCTTGGTAAGTTCATCATTGTATTTGTATTCTCCAAACCAGATGGAATAGTTCTCAGGATCGAACTTTTCCCAGAAGTATGGCACGGATTTGCTCTCATCTTCGTTGGAGTAGAATCTTTTGAAGTCATCCATGTTGAATGTTCTGAAAAAAGAAAACAAATCAGTAATGTATAGATGAAACTTATACACATTTTTTGAGAAGAAAATTTTGTTTGGTAGCAATTTTTTAAATACAATCCAGTGTATTGGATTTTATTTCCTTGCTGCTGACCATTTGCTATTTCTCTTTGAGTTACAGTGATGGTGAGTAAAAGTCACCAAAACTGCCTTTGAAAGAGAAAATTTAATTTATTGCTAATTTATTAGGGCATAAAAATGTACTGGCTTTTTTTTAGAATGAACTAGAATACCCACTTAAGGTAAAATACAATCTACTACTAATTTATATAGTGTCAGCCTCAAAATATTACAAAAATTTTGTCATTTCTGTAGCTTAGTTTAATTTATTCTAAACTAAGAAAATAGCAAATTTTTTACCCCTTTGGCAGAGAATCGAAAGGATCCTTGCTCTTGGGTTCTCCTGCAAGTGCAGCTTCAGCAGCATCCATCTCTTCAGCCGGTTCCTCGGCTTTAGGTTCAGCTTTTGGAGTCTGTGGCTTCTTTTCCTTTTTATCTTTCTTGGGCTGAACTGCACCAGACTTAGCTAAAAACAGTAACAGATAAAACAATTGCATTGAACACAATTAGGAAAAAAAAAGTGTAAATAAATATCAGGTGGAAAAATGTGAATCACATAATTATCATACTTATATGGAACGGTAAGTTTAGTCATCATAGTAATAAAGTGAGGTTAGGTTATATATTATAAATAATTTACCTTGTACTTCGGCAAACTTCTTGGCATCAAATTCTCCCATTTTTGTGCAAAGTGTGAAATTACCGACAACGGATTTGACTTGTGGTTGGTTTAAGATAGTTGTAAACCACCTTGTGACTGATCCAAATGGAGCACGGAAGGATGGTTCAAGCACATGCTGCAAAATAAATCCATAATTATAATATTCATATACATAAACTAAATAGTAATATATTATTTATTCAATCAGGTGGAAAAATTGGAATCACATTGTTGTTGTCATACAATATGGAACGGTGTTTTGTCATCATTAGAAGATTTTTACTAAATATATTTATATCAATACATTTAAATATAATGTATTAGTAGTTTACCTGGTACAGGTGAAGTAATGAGCAGAACACACTGATATCAGCCAAAGTTATTCTTTCACCGACGAGATATGTGTTATTTACTAAATGAGTATTTAGGACGGAAAGGGCACTTTTGACGTCTTCCTTTGCACGGTCAGTAGTCTGGAAACAAAATAATAAAGAATAAATTGCATTGTAATAGTACAAAAAAATAGATTAATATTTTTAGTTATTTTTATATAATTGTTATTGTTAAAATACTAACAATTAGTTAACTAAAAACTTATTTAACACTTAATTGTGAAACAAAATATTTCTTTCATTAAAATACCAAAAAAAATTGTGAAAGCAAATACTTATATTGCAAAAATAATTATCAATTTGTTTGAAAAAAAAAAGTAATATAAAACACTTATAAATTTGTAATATAAAATAACCTAAAATTTGTTAAAATACTTTTGTATCATAAGTATTGTAAAGCTTAAGTTGTTTAAAAAATTACTTGCAACTATTTATATAATTTATATTTAAAAATAATTAAACTTAAATATAAATAGGTTTATAGTAAATAAATTAAATAATAAATGAATAAGTGATAATAGTTAATAGTTAAATTTTATATTAAATTTGCGAAATATTGACTTGAGCCTTATTATATCATACTGATAGTTTGATATAAATGAATAAATATGTAAAGGTCTTCATTATTTTCCTTTGACATGTTCAGAAAACATGGTCTTAAACTGATTTAGATTTTTAAAATTACAAATGTGTTGGTTCATTCTCTTGTAGCTATATCGCAAAATTTAACAACAATTACAATCATTACAGTGGTGAAATCACCATACAACTGCTCAGTTATAATAAAATTATTGTAAAAATTACATTTCACATTTAATTTGAGCTCTATCAAAACTTCTACAGAAAACTTTACATTGTCTAAAGAGTGCTTAGCAGATTATTCAGCTAAATAGTGCCAAATTTTTCATAAAGACGATGTTACAACAATATTACGAACAAGATATCAAAATCGATGATAATTCAAAGGCTAATAATAAAGGTGAAGACTAAGAAGCAGCTAAAAAGTTTAGTCTAGAGGATATGAAAAAAAAACTCTGGACTTAGCTAAACAGTTTATATTTTTCAAATAAAGATTCAAGAAGTCTTTCAAAGACTTCTATTAAAATGAATAGAAAATTTTCAAATTTTGCAAGCAAACCATATAAAAATATTCATATGAATCTTGAATCAAAGCAAGTATTTTCAAAATGAGTTTTTGCAAAAAAGAAGCAAAAATGGATCTGAATACAGAAAAATGTTTTAAGAAAAAGGGTATCTTCCTGGCTCAGAAAAATATATATATATATTTAGCCAATTAAATTGGCATGTTTTTTTTAATTTGTTGAATACAAAAAAAAAATGCTCAAAGAAAAAAGTATATTGCTAAAGAGATGTTCTTGTAATCTACGATGTTAATGAATATTTTATAAATTTTGGAACCTAATCTCTTTTTGAGTAAATAGGAAGTTACCAAAAAAGTTATAAGTTTAATCTAGGGAATATAAAAAAAACCATAAGCTTAGGCTGAGTAAGGATTTTTTTCAAATAAAATAGCTTTAAATGAAATTCGCACAATCGAAGATATTTATATGAATTTTGAATCAAAGCAAATATTTTCAAATTGAGAATTTTCCCAAAATAAAGTAAGTATATGGAGCATTTTAGCTTAGTAAAAATCCACGATAATTAAGAGACTATTAATAATAAGTGAAGACTAAGAAGTTGTTAAAAAGTAATCTAGAATATGAACTATTATGATATTTTTCAAATAAAATGAGCACAAGATTTTCAAATTTCACAAGCAAACAAAGAAATGTATATGAATCTTGAATCAAAACAAATATTTTCAAATGAGGCTTTTTTGTATAAAAAAGCCAGTATGGATGATCTGAATACAGAAAAATGCTCAAAGAAAAAGGACATATTGCTAAAGAGAAGTTCTCGTAATCTGCAATATTAATGAATATTATAAAAGAAAATGAATATATTGACCTTTACCATATGTTTTTTTTTGAATTTTGTAAACTAACCTCTTTTTGCACTAATCTTTTGTTTTGTATACAAAAATGGTTAAGTTTTTGTAACATAACTCATGTCACATGGAGCTTAACTGCACGTTACAGTAAAATCAAGGATTAAAATAAAATACTATTAGTTTCCTTGTATCTTATGTTGCATAAAATCAAATTTTGAATATCACCCATTTCATTTAATCTAATTCAGATCAATTTATCCTTTAACAAGTTTGTATTACCCCCTGCATAGCGAATTAACCATTTTTTATAATCTATCATCTTCTACTTACTTGCTTATTGAACTGCATTATTCCCAAAATTGGGAACACCCATGCACAGGATGGGGGCACGATCTCTCCATTGCCAAAATCTACCCATTGTAGAATTTGAGCCTTTTCCAATTCGGAGGCGCCACGTAGTTGGGCATTTGATACTAAAATTATCAGTCAGTTAGTATAAGTTAATAAAAAAAAAGTATTTTTAGCTTACCATAATAAGCAATAGCATCGCTGCCACTTAAGTATTTTCCATCGTTGCTTTCGAACGCTGGAACCTAAAAATAAATAACAATATGGAGTCTGCGTCAGAATATAACCTTAAAAACCCGGCATTGTTTGCTAATTAAATTAAGCTCACCTTTCCCGCAGGGAACTTCTTGAGGAACGATTCTGACTTATTCGTCTCTCCGAATGCAAAATCGGCTGCTACTTTAACATTAGCACCCGAAAATTTGGCAGCGATTAAACTTTTGTAAGCACGGAAGTTCTCGGGGTATGTATACAAAGTCTACAAAAGAAAAGTCAATATTTTCATCAAGCACTTGCACAACAAATGTATTTGCACAATATTGTGTACGGATCGCGTAGATACTATCGGATGATTAGTAATAAAATAACTTACGCCAGACGCCATGGCTGTAGTTGTTGCGGAAAAGGAAGATCGAGAGAGTGAGGCCGAACCCAGTTGATTTGACAGCCAAGAAGGCAGCGCACATGTACGGACATGTTTGCAACCTCGCGAAGTTAGCAATCGAATGGAAAATATCGATAATTTGAAATCGATAATTCAAACCAAAATTGAAACATTAGATGTTCCAAATACTTTTGTTTAAATTAACATAATTAGTGCTAATCAGCATAATTATTTTGCTGACATCACTTATTGTTCTTGTAACAATTCAATTTTCGAAATCAAATTCGAGGAAGTCTATTTTATTTACATATTACTTAGAAATTGGCATAGATTTTGAACATATTTGCTTATGCATTTAAGCAAATTGTTATTTGCATTATTGTAAGTTCTAACATAAGATTTTTTATTTTGTATAAGTCACTCAAATGCAGAGTAAATAGGTCATTGCACCATTTTGCTTTAAGGCAAGTTGCATGAACTTTCTGGTATCTGCAAATCATAATTTTATTTATTTATTTATTTTTTATTAATAATATTTTATAATACTGTAATTACACAAACACAAGCTTGGAACATAAATTGGTGCTAAAATTTTTGAAAAAGGACAATTTTTACCCACCCACATGTTTTATCCAATATAGGCGTTCAACAATTCTGAATCGTACAGAAAATATAGAATTAGCAAGTCTAAAGAATACATAAACTTCTTCTTCGAGAAGCTAAAAAAGTATGAAAAGTCATATTCTTTATCATTGAAATAATATAAAATTTCTCATTTTTAAAAAATGTAGCATTAATTAAATTATATATATAATTAAATTATATATTTACTTGTTATACTATGGCTAAAATAATAAAAACAGTTATGCCTTTTGGTTTAAGTTTTTCTATTTAAAACTCACATGCTACAAATGCGTTCTAGAATAATAAATAACAAAATAAATAATTTTCAGGTACTTCAAATTTAAATTTACTGCTTAAATGACTAATGTTTTTTTATTTACTTTACTATTATTTTTATTACAAGGTATTGAATAATAATTTTAAACTTCAAAAAAATGCTTATTTATTTGTAATTCTTATGCTAATAATAAAACTTCAAATTTTAGTTTACGCATTTTAATTTTAAACTCAATCCCAGAAGAAGTTTCTCATTTTCAAAAAAATGTATTATTAATTAAATTATATATTCACTTCTTGTACTAAAATAATGATAATTTTTATGCCTTAAAATTTGTATTAAAACCTGTAAAACTCACATAATCTAAATGCATTTATAATTAACAATAAATAACAAAATAAATAATGTTCAGGTATTTCAAATTTAAATTTACTGCTGAAATGACTAATGTCATACATATGCACTTACCTTCACTTTAGTGCTTGAAACACAATTTTAAACTTTATTTTAGAAAAAATCCACATTTAATTACATATCTTATGATAAAAATATAAAATTTTAAAATTTAGTTAAACCTAATTCATAATTATAGTTGTTTGTAGATTATAATTAATTTTCATATATTTCAAATTTAAATTTACTGCTGAAATGTCTTGAGTCAGTCATGTGCTCTTACCTTTACTATCATTATTATTAGACGACACTAAATTAAAAACGTTTATTAAAAACAAATAACACTCATTTAGTTAGTTAGAACTTTGATGCTTTTGATTTCAATTAGGTTTATGGCTTTTTATTTCAAACTCAAATAATACGCTGAAATGTCTTGAGTCAGTTATCTTTAGCATCATGTTATTATTAGGCGACACTAAATTAAAAACGTTTATTAAAAACAAATAATACTCACATAGTTATAGTTAGAACTTTAATGCTTTTAATTTCAATCAGGTTTAATATCTTTTTATTTCAAACTCTTAAAACATTTGTCATATTTCAAATTCAAATTTCCTGCTGAAATGTCTTGAGTCTGTTACCTTTAGCTTCATTATTATTAGACGATACTAAATTAAAAACATTTATTAAAAACAAATAATACTCACTTAGTTAGTTAGAATTTTAATGCTTTTGATTTCAATTAGATTTAACATCATTTTGTTTCAAGCTCTTATAACATTTGTCATATTTTAAATTCAAATTTTCCGCTTAAGTGTCTTAAGTCAGTTATGTGCTTTTAACTTCACTATTATTTAGACGACACTAAATTAAAAACTTTAAAAACAAATAATTCTCACTTAGTTAGTTAGAATTTTAATGCTTTCGATTTTATTTAGGTTTAATATCTTTTTATTTCAAACTCTTATAACATTTGGCATATTTCAAATTCAAATTTCCCGCTAGTCAGTCTTGTGCTCTTAACCTTTAACATCATTATTATTAGACGATACTAAATTAAAAACATTTATTAGAAACAAATAACACTCACTTAGTTAGTTAAAATGTTAATGCTTTTAATTCCAATTAGGTTTAATATCTTTTTATCTCAAACTTTTATAACATTTGTCATATTTCAAATTCAAATTTCCCGCCGTAATGTCTGCTGTCAGTGATGTGCGCATACCTTCACCACCATTTTTACACACGACATTAAATTTTTGAAATTAAATTTCATTTGAAGAAGCACTCGCGTTCTATTAAGTTCTCAAAATATCCAATGATATTTAGTTAATTATTAATTACTATCGATATCTTGGTGGTCAGAATCTGGGTGCATTTCCATTTCGTCAGTTCGTATGTTTACCATTCGTCAGCAGTCGTCGACCTTCAGTTTGCAATCTTGTTGTGCACCCAGATCGATTGTTTGACCCAGCGCACCCAAAATTTCACATATTTCTGCAGAGTGCCTAAAACGAAACGTTGCAATTGACATTTAGACAAGTAGTTGATAGAAATTTAAAAAAATGGTAAGTTGCTTGTTATAATAGTTTTAAACAAAGTGTTTCATTAGAAGAATTGATCTATTGTGCTATTTTAGGATTACAATCGCCAGCCGCAATAATATGTATTTATATCCTTGTTTTTGTTTCAGGGAAATGAAACTTCACTGCCAATGGAGCTCTGCTCTAACTGTAAGTAATAATTGACTTATGTTAATAGAATAACATTGAAAAATTAATTTTTGACTTAATCTGGATAACTTTGTGTAAAAGCTACATTTTAAAATATTGTTCTTACTTGTTGCTTACAAATTATTTAACAAATATTTTTTTATATTGTTAAAATCATTACTAGGTTATTAATTTATTATTTAGACATTCAGGACTAATGTGGATGAATAATTATTTCATTCTCAAAACCATTTATTAAAACCAAGAAATAAAAGAAAATAGGTTAGGAGTTCCTTTGACCCGAAGAACTTTCTAACATGGAAATGAAATTGAAATTGATTTTTAACTCGAATTGTTATAAACTTTATTGACATTGCTTTATTAACAATGTGCAATCGAAACGATCTTTTAACTATAATTTTGTCAAAAATTAATTGATTTATCCAAATCAAATTTTATCACAATATTTCATATATATTCTTTTGGAAGCAACATTTTACGATATTTTTCTTACTTGTTGCTTACAAATTGTTTAATTATTCTTTATATTATTTAAGGTTATTAATTTATTATTTAGATGATTTTATTTTCAAAACCATTTATTAAAATCAAGAGAAAAGGGAAAATACGTTAAGAGTTTCTTTGACCTGAAAAACTTTCTAACGAGAAAATGCAATTGAAATTGATTTTTGACTCGTATTGTTCCTTTAAGGCGTGCAAGAATTCATTAACGTTGTTCTATCAACAATTTGCAATTGATACTGACTTTTAGCTATCATTTTGTCAAAAATTAATTGATTTGTTCAAATCAAAGAAGTTTTATCACAATACTCCATATATATTCTTCTGGAAGCATAATTTCAAAATATTGTTCTTACTTGTTGCTTAAAATTCTTTTAGATACTGTTATGAATAATAAAAAAAATTGCTGAATGATGACATATACCGTGTCGAAACGTATAAATAAATAGATCATTATTTATTGTTCTTTTAATTGAATGATTGGCTGCAAATTAACATTCAAGTATATATATATATATATATATATATATATATACATATATAATGGTGGTCCTTAATATGGATATTTTCAAATTTCTTTGCTCCCAGGTGCTCAAATGCTTTCAAATTCTCTGAAAGTTTTAGCTCTTAATGTCAATTTTAAGATAGTCCACGCTCTATCTCTAACATCTATATCAAGGACCACCCTGAATATATACAATTATCTACATACCTTTACCAATTTCTAACATTTATCTTTTTCCTCTCCAGTTGATGCCGATGAGATACGACGTCTGGGCAAAAGATTTCGCAAATTAGATTTAGACAATTCAGGTGCTCTGAGCATCGATGAATTCATGTCACTGCCCGACCTCCAGCAGAATCCACTGGTCCAGAGGGTCATCGATATATTCGATTCGGATGGGAATGGTGAAGTGGATTTCAAGGAGTTCATTCAGGGGGTGTCTCAGTTTAGTGTTAAAGGAGATAAATTATCAAAATTAAGATTCGCTTTTAGAATATATGATATGGATAATGATGGGTTTATTTCTAATGGAGAACTTTTCCAGGTAATAAATGATAATGAATAGTTTATATATATATATATATATATATATATATATATATATATATATGTATATATGTATATGTACATATATATGTATATGTACATATATACATATATGTACATATATATGTATATGTACATATATATGTATGTATGTGTTAATATATATATATATGTATATATATATGTATATATGTATATGTATATATATATGTATATATGTATATGTATATATATATGTATATATGTATATGTATATATATCTGTGTATATATCTGTCTATATGTATATGTGTATATATATGTATATCTATATGTATATGTATATCTATATATAGTATATGCATATGTATATGTTATATATATGTATATGCATATGTATATGTATATATATGTATTTTTGAATATTCTTGAATTTGATGTTGATATATATGTTTAATTTGAGTTTAATATTCGGGCGTAACATCAATAAAAATTTTTTTATTGATGTTACGCCCGAATATTAAACTCAAATTAAACATATATATGTATATATATATATGTAGCGGGTTGCCAACACGCATCGCGGCTTGTCAACACGCATCACATGTTACTGAACAGATTGGCCCATATAGTGACAGCACAGAAAAAAAACAAAAATAAATTCAAGTGTCAGATCGGACATGGCTTTTGTTTCTCCCTAGTAGTTTTTGCCAAAAAAATGTATAATTCTTGAAACCTTTCTTTTCAATTATAAATAAGAAAATACCAATAACGTTTTATTAACGATCAGTATGACAACACATAGTGTCGTGGATATTAATCATATATAAAATAAACGAAATATAAATAATATTTTATGAAATTTATTATGACTATAATTTGGACAATTCCGGTATTTCTACAATATGGAGCACGCCTCCATATTTTGGTGACCCCGAGAGTGAACTAGTAACACACATACAAGAAGGTAAGAAGATCAAGACATATTTTGAAGTAGCACAAAAAAAATAAATTGAAGTCTCAAGAATTACTAAGAAAAGAATTTTTAAAAATATAAATAATTATTATAAATGGCTCACAACCGCCATAACTAGAAGAACATTCTAATCCTACAACTGAGACTCCGACCACGCACTTCAAGATCAACAATAACACGTGCTCAATAAATCACTTATTATCATGGTAAATAAGTCGATAATAAGCACCATGGCAACAGACAGGGAGCAAACAATTTGGCAACCGCCACATACACTCAACCGCTAACTCACCAGCGAAGGGCCACATACACTCAACCGCTAACTCACCAGCGAAGGGCCACATACAATCAACCGCTAACTCACCAGCGAAGGGCCACATACAATCAACCGCTAACTCACCAGCGAAGTGTCAAATATACTCAGCCGCTAACTCACCAGCAAAGGGCCACATCTACTCAACCGCTAACTCACCAGCGAAGGGCCACGTAAGCAATCAACAAACTCAACAAGCCAACACGGCAATTTATCACACAATCTCAACCAAAAGAAATTTACAAGGAAGTTCAAGAATGGCAGTCAGAGATGCGAAACAATCTTTTTCATTAGGGCGGAGTGATGTAGCGGGTTGCCAACACGCATCGCGGCTTGTCAACACGCATCACATGTTACTGAACAGATTGGCCCATATAGTGACAGCACAGAAAAAAAACAAAAATAAATTCAAGTGTCAGATCGGACATGGCTTTTGTTTCTCCCTAGTAGTTTTTGCCAAAAAAATGTATAATTCTTGAAACCTTTCTTTTCAATTATAAATAAGAAAATACCAATAACGTTTTATTAACGATCAGTATGACAACACATAGTGTCGTGGATATTAATCATATATAAAATAAACGAAATATAAATAATATTTTATGAAATTTATTATGACTATAATTTGGACAATTCCGGTATTTCTACAATATGGAGCACGCCTCCATATAATATATATATATATATATATATATATATATATATATATATATATATATATGTGTATATATATGTATATATATATATATATATAAATGTGTATATATATGTATATATGTATATATTAGGGTGGTCTTTAATATCGAATGCTTCCAAATTGAAAAAAATATTTGAAAGTTTTAGCTCCTAAATATTAACTTTAAGATAGTCTGCACTCTAACCAAAGTTTCTTGGTTCTTCTTTTTAAGTAAATACTTATTTTATGAAATACATCAAGTTTTTGTTTTAAATTTGTTATTTGTGATCAAAATAAGCAAATTCAATGTTATTCTCAAAATTTTGATTCATTTGTTAAGCTATAAAATTCTAAAAAACAAATAGAATTTTATCAATGTTATTTCCATGAGAAACTTTGTTTGGATTGTGGACTATCTTAAAGTTAATATTAAGAGCTAAAACTTTCAGAGAATTTTTATTTTGGAAGCATTTGAGCTCCTGGCAGCAAGGAAAATGGAAAACATCCTTATTAAAGACCACTCTAATATATATAAATATATAAATATATATATATATATATATATATATATATAATAATTTAAAATGACAAATTTATTGGATCCATAAATTAATCTATATCATCATTTGGTAAAAAGAAAAACTAAAATGTTACAAAAATTGAGGTGATATTTATAATATCTTATAAAACTACATTCTTACAAAAATATACTTGCAAAACTATCACAATCACTAAATTAATAAAACAGTCGGAACAATATATTATTTGAAACATTAAATTAAAATTTAAACTATACATTTTTCTGAGTAACATTAGTTGAAAAATTAGAATAAAATAAATTCAAGAATTAAAATTGTGTACTGTTGTTCATGTAGGAAACTACATATATGTAATTTTAATTTTTAGTTCAAATGTTCAATTAATTATTGTTTGGAATGTATTATTAGTTTAATGATAGTTTTGTGAGTATTTCCGTATTTTATAAGTATTTATAAGTATTTTTAACAGTATGTTCTTAATATAGACTGAAACATATGGAATCGATAAATTTGTGATTTTCAATTTCCAAGTTTTTTAACTGGTTATGTCTGATTAAAATCATTTATTCATATATATATATACATATATATATATATATATATATATATATATATATATATATATATATATATATATATACACACCTAAGTCTGTTTTTACATGGTAGATTGGTTCCAGAAGAAGCCGTGTAAAAAAGAAAACCGTGTAAAAAGACATTGATCTTATACAAAAATGGGTGATTTGTTCCAAATTTCTAAAACCTATTAAAATTAGTGAAAAACAAGAATTTTTAAGAACTGAATTCATGTTTATTTTATTAAATCAAATATAATAAAAAAAATCAAAGTAAAAATTGTTTGTACGCGCTAAAGGGGAATTCACTTAAATCTTTAAGCTAGTTTTCGCAAATTATCGATACTATCGATGGTTTCAGACTTTATTCTTTCATAAATACTTTTTGTGATATGAACATACTTCGCAAAAATTAAATTTGACAAAAAAATTTAAGTACATAAAATTTCAAATCGTGCTAAATAAAATCGTGTAAAAAATTAAAAATATTCAATTTTCAAACCGTGTTATATCAAAACCGTGTACAAAAAGACTGTGTAAAAACGGACTTAGGTGTATATATATATATATATATATATATATATATATATATATATATATATTGTTTTGTGCTAGTTATGAAACCTATTTTAAGTTTATCTTCAAACTTAAATATTTGTTTAAAATTTGCTCTCATGATAGTAAACATTGTAAAAATATTTACTTTAGGCAAATGATAATCTGTTAGTTCAGCTTTATATGAATTAGACAAAAATATATAGACAATTTTTAATACATGGTATTATAAACGTCTTGAAGATAAAGTTTATATTTTTACCAGAAAATCCGATTTGATAAATTTATATTCTGTGGTCATTTCAAGTCATTCTTAATCGTTTGAGACCGAAATTGAAACAGGTATGTGTGTGAGTCAAAATTTTATATTTTCTCAAAAACTGTTGCATCAATTTCATTATTTTAAAAACCATTTGATTAAACTCTATGTGGAGACTCGTGTTGGTTAGTTTTGACCGTCGATTGGTCAAGCCATTTCTTTGTAATTAGCAAGAAAATGTGAACAACCCATTTCTTCTACTTTCGTCTAAAAATCCTGAAATGATGCAATTTGGAAATTGCGCTGATTAGTTTTTAATAAAGATCGGTCAAGCCGTTTCTTCGTAATTAATCGTTAATTAAAATCGATGATTTTAATGAAATTTTGTATTGCGTAAAGTGTCTGGTCTTTTTGAACATGCTAAAATATTATAGTCCTATGGAAAGTGGTTTAATTATAATAAAGATTTAATAAAATTTGAATTATTCGGCGGCGGTTCAAGAAAATATATCATAAACTAGTGGTGTATGGCATCGTGCCTTAAGGCAAATTGCTAGAACTTCCCGTACCGTAACAAAATATTTGAGGATTATCAAATGTTTTCATATAGATTATTATAAATACTGTAACATTGTCTAATATTTACAAGAATCATATAAACTGAATTTCAAAGTTGAAATTACTTGTTTAAAGTATATTAGAACTTCAGTCAGAATTGAAAAAAAAAATCAAATAATTTTTTGTTCCAATTGTTTTGTCAACACAAGCAGAAAGTTTTTTGGATCATTCGAATCGGATGCTTAGTTCTTTCAAAAACTGCAATTTTTCGCACATTTTGCTCGGTATTTCCGAAATGGCTAGACCTGCCTTTGCCAAAAACTAATCACCACTTCTCCCAATCATTATAAATTGAATGTTTTTTGGATAATTCAAATCGAATACTCCGTTTTTTCTAAAACTCGATTTCTATTTTCTACACTCTTTGCTCCGTATCGCCATAACGGCTCGACCTGCCTTTGCAAAAAAATGATCAGCACATCTTCCTATCAATAGGAATCGAGTGTTTTTAAAATAATTTAAATCGGTTGATTCGTGCGCCCGAAAACGTGAACAAAAAATTGTATCCATACATACACACGCACAATCATTTTTTCTGGAGTATGTCAAAATGTTCAGAAACCTCTAAAACGTGAAGATATGCAAAAAATTACATTTTCGGGAAGTTAACATGTTTGTACAAAATAAATTAATATTGATTTCTTATTAAGTTGTTTCATGCAACTTGTAAGTTTCTAATTGTTAATAATGAATAGTTAAGTTAAGAGTGAAGATCATCATTATTATTATTTCATTTCCCCCCAGGTTTTGAAAATGATGGTTGGAAACAATCTAAAAGATGCACAATTACAACAAATTGTAGATAAAACAATTCTATTTGCCGATAAGGATGAAGATGGTAAAATATCCTTCGATGAATTCTGTGCAGTTGTTGGAAACACGGACATTCACAAGAAAATGGTGGTTGAAGTATAAATAAAGTAAGCATGAGAATATGTTATTGTTGATTTCTTTTTGAACTTAGTCTATTATTTATTGTTTGTTAGTTTAAATATTTGTATTTATGTAGATACTTCATTTAATAATCAATCATATTTATATAGAAATAATTATAAACTATCGTAATTGAATTTGGAATATCTTATGCTGAAGTGCTAACATCACCATTGTTCAAAATTTCTTGCACTGTGGGACATAATCTATATGTGATTTAATGACCAAAATCTATTTTGTAAATTGTATGTTGAATTTATCTCGACCACGAAATTGATTCCTTATGAATTTTTAGAATTAAAAATCATTTTTGTGTGATGTTTTGAAAATCGGGCGGGTAGACTGAGTAAAATATACATATAAAAAACTTAATACAGCAGTAATACCCTGGGGTAACGTTATATAGTATACAGCTTTAAGCAAAACAGCGCTAAACGGGGCTATATCAATATTAGGGAAAGATGGATAAGAGCTAAAAATTTGCAAATCCAATGTACTTACAAAAGCAAATACAAATCTAAGTCAGACGGATCGTTCATTCTATTGTGAGTCCAGTTTTTTGTCCAAAAGACTAATTTTCTTTTGCATTTTTTTTAGAAGCTGTTAATGAGTGGATAAACATCTGTAACATCCAAAATTGCTTTTGATCCTTTCCACTCCCAAGACTTCTTGTATTTTTATTCCTCCAGCTCCTGCTAAAATTGCGTTTTGTAACTTTCAAGGGTTTGTTCATATTTTGTAAATTATATTATGCAAAGAATGTTGAAACCAACAGTCAATATTTGTCAGGTGTAAAATGTAGTCTATATTTGTATATATATTGATATATAATATTTGATATATAATATTTGATATATAAGAAAATTGTTCACCTTTCTAGTGATGAGTACCTGATTTCCTATTAGTATTGATTCTAAATATTTGCATTTTGTGGAATGGTTTTAAAATAATCCCTTTTTTTTAAAAAAAAAAAGTTACATTATATTGATTACCACTCGAAGACAGTGGAGCTGGTGGAATAAAATCTGAAGTAATAAAATAAAATGTTAAGTGATACTTGGCTTTGAGGTTGTAAAGGATCCAAGGTTTCATTTAAATTTTGGATTATTTTCGCAATAATGGTCACATATCTATTTGTTATTCTTCAAAATCACTGGTGTCAATATTTTTATTATCTTCTCCTTGTTCACTAAATTGCTTTTTTTGAAATCTTCAGTCACTTTCCAGATAATTCAGTCTATTTTGGATTTTTAATTGTTACCATTTTGTCATAAACGCATCAAAAGTAGTTTGCATTTTCCTTCTGCTTTTTTTTTAATTGCTTTTGAACTCCTGCATCATCCTGAAAATAAGTTCATTTGATTGGTCCTATAATTTCACTCTAATTGGTTCTAATTCATTGAAAGTATTATTTGATCTTCTTCCAAAATCACTATTATTTTTTTCTTCTTGATTAGTAAATAGCTTCATATCAGTAGAAAGACCAGATGGTGTTCTTTTTAACGATTAAATATAGATACAATTTGAATTCAGATAGACCATTCTCTATCATGTTTCCAATTTTCTGTTTTTGTCAAAGTGGATGAAACATTTATAAAACCCCAAATTGCTTTGCAGAATTGTTGCAAAATTTTGATCCTTTAAAAAAAGGTTCATAATTTCAGCCACATTCATCAAAGACCTCCAGAAATTTCTATTTGCATTTCTTCAGAATGACTACTATCAATATTTTTTGGACTACTGTAAAATTTGACCATTTAAAAAAAATGGTTCTTAATATCAGCCACAGTAGTCAAAGATCACCAATCAATAATTTTGTCTTGAAATCATCATTAGAAAGTCCAGTTCCTGTGGTTTGAATGAATTCAAACAGATCATTCACTCTTTTGTTTCCAATTTTTCCAATCTTCTTATCGAAAAGGTATCTAAAGTAGTGTGCGATTTTCTTCTGCAATCTTTTTGAAGTTAAGGATAAATCTAAATCATCCAAAATTGCTTTTGAACTCCTGCAAAATTTTGATCATTTGGATCATAATTTTAGCCACCAGAATATCAATATTTTCTTATTCTTGTTCAGTTAATTACTGCAGAGATGCTGTTTTTTTTTTAACCTTTTCTTCCATATTTGTAATAAAATAGATACATTTCAAATTCAGACAGATCTTGTGTTTCCGATTTAGGCAATGGCAAAGTAGTAGGCATCTTCTAAAACAAGCAGGTATTGCTTTTAAACTCCTGAGCAGTCATCAAAGCTCGCCAAAAAATGTGGAAAAGTGCATTAGAACTTTGTGTAGTTTTGGCATTTACATTACTTTTATTTATAGGTCTTTAATTGATTAACGTTTCTTGAAGCAATGCCAACAGGTTTGAATGGAGGTTTTGCTTTCATTTTTTTCTCTTTCTAGTCTTTTTTGCTTCTCCTTTTTACAAATTAAGTATCTTTCGTTCCAAGGTAATTTTTTTGCTTTGTTATTTTGTGTTGCACCACTTAAGCTTAGTGAGTCTTGGTCTATATTCCTGTTAGTAGCAAACGCGTGACCTCCTATCTCGCAGTAGACTTGCATTTTGTTTGCGCCTATCAGACGCTTCAGTTTACGCAAAAGTATTTTGCTTGTACTCAAGTCTTAATTTTTTGACCTGAAAATAGTATATTATTATGATTTAATTAATACAACGAAAGATCATCATTAGGAAGACCAGCTTCTGCTTCTTAACCATTTCTTGGACGTTTTTCACATTCACCTCACCTGACTGGAGGTGACAATCTTCCATATCTAAACTTGTTGCACTAATATCACTATTAATATTTTGGTTTTCTTCTTGCTCATTTAATCAATCAATTCAGAAATTATTAATATTCATTAAAAAGACCAGCCAAACTATTTTCTCTGACCTTTTCTTCAACATCTTCCACATTTCTAATAAAATAAATACAAAGTCTGTTCTGCGTTTTTAATTCATTGCCATTTTGCCAAAAAGGCATCAATGTAATAATAAATAATACTTGATCGTGCTGCCGAATTTGAATCATTTTTAGAAAAAAATGGTCCTTAATTTTCATCCACAATCGTCAAAAGCACCAGAATTTGATGTATCTTACTTTTTTTAAATTATAAATAAAATGATAAATTACTTTCTTTTTCTTGCTCATCAATTACTGCTTCAGATCATCATTGGAAAAACTTTTTTACATCTAAACTCGTTTCACTAATTCCACTATTTCTTCCACGATTACACCGATTTTGGTCAACCCCCGGAAAAAAAGAGTGCACTAAACCGAAACAGTGCTAAACGAAGCAGCGTTAAACGGGGTGCGTTGCGAATATTACCTTTATAGCAGCATTAAGCGGGGTTTTATCATGTGCATTACATTTATTGCAGCGTTAAGTGGGGCTTTATCATGTGCATTACATTTTACGGTGAATATTATATTAACAGCCGCGTTAAGCGGGGTTTTACGGTGTGTATCACATTTAATAGCAGCGTTAGACGAGGTGCACTGAATATATTATCTTAACCGCAGCGTTAAACGGGGCTCCATGGTGCATATTACATTAACATCAGCGCTTTGCGGGGTTTTATGGTGTGTATTATCTTAATTTTATGGCGTGAATTACCTTTATAACAGCGTTAAGCGGGGTTTTATGGTGTGCATCACATTTTATAGCAGCGTTAAACGGGGTGCACTGTATATATTATCTTAACCGCAGCGCTAAGCGGGGTTTTATGGTGTGTAATCTTAATTTTATGGCGTGAATTACCTTTATAACAGCGTTAATCGGGGTTTTACGCTTGTTGTATTACCTTTACAAGTAGCGTTAAACGGGGTATTACTATATGTATTATTTTAATAACTGTTTCTTTTATCTTTCGACTATTTTTAGAGACGTGACGATATGTTGTTGGTTTTGTTGCACAATTTTAACTTAATTAGAATTTAGAGAAGTATTTTAAAAATAACATTTATCACAGTAAAACTTTTAGAGGCACTTTGATTCTTTTTGGTGTCGTAATTTAGACTAATAGCTTTGAAATTTGAATCTAAATAATACTAATACTAATAGACAAAAGTAGATTAGTAGTCGCACTAATGCTGTACTGTCCCACAAAAAACTATTTTTAATTCTAATAATATAAATTTACCAAAATGTAGCTGAATAATACTAAATAGTTCTCTCAATTACTTAATTATAAATATATATAAATTAAGTGTATTTTAATTTTCATAGTTTGATTAATAAATAATTAAATATTGTGAACAGAGCCTGCATAGCCCATCACTTTAAGAATATATATAAAAAAATTATGCATAAATCAAAAACCTAGATAAATGTATGTCTATTTAGAGGAATTCTATAAATAAATTAAAAAAAATGTACTTATAAGTCCTTAACAATTTGAGACTCTAAATTCTCAGTATATTTATGTAAGATATTTTAATGTATCTCATAAGCAAAAAAACGGTAGATATGAAGAATCTCTTGTACACATAGATAAAGTTATAGGCTAAAATTCTACTACTGTTATTCTATTTCTTGATGCTTCTTTTATAGAAATTTGCAAAATTCGGCAAGAATGCCGTGAATAAAAAAAATCTTGCCCGATTGCGCAAATTTCTATAACATATAAATATTACAATTATATATTAACCTGTATTTGACTCAATCAAGTCTTTAAGTGTGTGTAAGATTTGATTGATTATTAATCAGAGAGATAATTAATATTTGCATTCCTTATAGAAATCTGGTAGATTTTAAAAATGAATGCTTATCGAAAGCTGAATTAACCATTAACCAAATAGAATGCAAAGAAATGAAAATATATATTGTAAAATAAAGTCTTTGTACCTTGCTAATAACCTATCACTAATCTTATAAAAAAACTTTGTATTTCTTGAATTCTATTTTGAATCTCAACTTACTGCGACTTTAATTATAAACGTGTTGAATGTAATATATATATATATATATATATATATATATATATATATATATTGTAGGCAACACAGATAATAACTAACGCTTTTAACAAATTTTGTCTAAATATATAGCCTTGCGATTACTATGTGAAAATCATGCACTGTAATTATATAATTTTGTTATATCTTAAAATAAATAATTTATCTTGAATTATGTTGTGAATAATATTATTTACCAAAAGGTAATTTATTTATTTCTTTTTCCAAAATCGACAAAAAGAATTAGGAGTTCAGTTTAGGTTGAACTATTTCGTTCAAAGCTATTTTTTCCAAATAAGTTTGTCTTATTTAAAAAAAAAAGATGTTCTATATTAATGTTTCGAATGGTGTAATTTAATATTTGTTATTTATGTAATTCGATTAGATTTGTTTAATCCTCTCAAAATGTTGCTAATTTAAAAAATAAATAAATTTGTTGACCTTTAGCCCTTTGTTAATTGCGAGTAAAAAAAAATGTTCACAGACAAAACAAAGCTATTTAAATTATGTTTTATATTTTTAATTATTTTATTCATTATATTTTTAGTTTTACCATTTTTAATTGAAGTGATTAAAACGTTGATATTACGTAAAAGATGTTCTGTGAAACATAGCGGTTACGTAACCTAGAAGGCACACAGACGTTTCTATTTCCTTGTTATAAAAACCATATATTTATTTATATGTAACATAAAATTAACAAGAAATTTGTCGAAATATAAAAGTGCATAATGAATGCTAACACAAACTAATTTTATTCAAAAATTTGATTTTCAAGTTTATATAAAAAATGTTTTACTAAATTTTGATAAATCTTATCTATTTTTTTCCTAATGCAAATAAATTACCATGACTAAAATAAAAAAAATTTAAATATATTGCTATTTATCAAAATACTTGAAAGTCCACTCCAACTAAGAATTATTCAAAATTGCTTAATCCAAGTGTATATAACAGTTTTTAATAGATTTTAGGATATTTCATCTTCAATTACTCAATCTTGTTAAAAAGTCAAGGATATATATCCATGGATTTTCACTCAAATCAAACGTGTGAAAAACATACACATTTTTCACTTCAATATTTCATGTCAAAAACTCATTGATATGAATTTTGTTGAAAATAATCCGTGGAGATATCTTTGGATATTTTATATGAAAATACAAACTTCATTATATATGGCCTAAATCTTATAGTTTATATGGGAAATGGATATATAAATATATATAATAAACATTTTAATTTATATACATTTACAATTACAACATAATAAATAATCTAGTAAAAACTGTTTTATACATTTACATAATAAAATTTTGATTAAGAAGTGCCCAAACATTTATTTTCTCGTAATATATTGAGCTATATGTGAATTTATTCATTAATTGATTCATTTTGTTTTTATTTATACCAGTAAAAACTAGATAAAATTCACTTAAATAAGTGAAACCTTTTATATACTTTTGGATATCGAAATTTTAAATAATTCTTAGTTGAAATACGGACTTGAATATTCTGATAATTACCAATACTTAGATTTAAGACTTTTTTTTACATGTCTTCAAATAACTTGAAATTTTCATTACGGACATTTAAGTTATTTTACAGTAAAAACTAGATAAAAATTACTAAAATCTAGTACACACTGTTTTATATGTTTATACACTTGCATAATTAAATTTTGAATAATTTATATTTATTTTCTGGCAATATGTGGATTTTGGACATTTTTACATTTCTTTGAAATTTTGCCCCAACCAATTTGATTTATTTATATCGGTAAAAACTAGATAAAATTTACTAAAATCTAGTAAAAACTGTTTCATCCACTTGGATATTGAAATTATGAATAATTCTTAATTGAAATACAGACTTGGATACTTTGACAATTAGCAATATGTAGATTTAGGACATTTTTCTACAATTCTTCAAATAACTTTTAATTTTTATTCCAGACATTTTTTAAGATATTTTTATCAGTAAAAACTAGATAAAATTTACTAAAATCTAGCAAAAACTATTTTATACATTTGGATATTGAAATTTTGAATAATAATTCTTATTTGAAATATGGCCAACAGATATTTTGATAATTAGCAATATGTGAATAAAACATTTTTTTTTTTGCATTTCTTCAAATAACTTGAAAGTTTCATTCCAGACATTTTTTAAGTTATTCATCAGTAAAAACTAGATAAAATTCACTAAAGTCTAGTAAAATTTGTTATATACCCTTGGATATCAAAATTTTGAATAAAATTAGTTAGTAAGCATTAAAGAGGCACTTTTATATTTCAATTGTGTTGTACAACTTTCTTATTAGCTTTATATTGCAAATAACTTTCTAAATCATTTTTACAATTTAAATTTTTATGCATTTAATTTCAACTAAATATGTATAGTTTAAAAAAAATATGCATAGTAGTGTGTTAAATGAGAAAGTCATTTATACTAAAAAAATGTAAAAATTAATTCATTCTTGTGAAATACCTCCCTATTTCAAAGTAAATTTTATTTAAAAAAAAAACGACACCATTGATTAACATTAGATCACATGCTCAAGTAGTGCTTAAAATTTTAAGAACCCCTGCAACTTTACTTGCAAAAATAATAAACCGTACTTTTATTTTATTTATATATTCAATAATAATTCAAAAAATTTGTTCGCATTAAAAATATATGTATATACAGTTTTATCTATTATATAAAAATTTCGCTGCCAATAGCAAATGGTCGCTCCCAAAGACCAAGTTTGGTATAGGGCCCATGAAGTCACATTCAGATATCGTAGGTAGTTCTAACCGAGATAGCAATTTCAAGTTGCCCACTTTATTCCCTCCACTAACATTTCCATCATTCGAACCGTGGCTATAAATATGCAAAGTAATAATAATAAACATCAGAATGAGACTTCTTTTAAAACTAGGCCCTGATTGTTTTTTTAATTATTACCTGTAGAATATGTAGTCGACAGTGATCCATTCGTTCTGGTAAGTTGATGCTTGTGCTTTACTTTTATTAACCATGTGGTAATAGGATGATGTTAGATTTAGAGAATGAATTAATAGTCCTGAGTCCGTTATTGTGTCTCTGTTGTCTAAAGCTCCCGCAGGATTCTAAAAAAATGAGAAAATAATGAGTAAATACTCATATTATCTTCTATATATATAAAAATAAGTCGGGTTTTCCTTCCTGACGAAATAACTCCAGAACGCACGAACCGATTTCGACAATTTTGCATTCGTTGGAAAGGTCTCGGGCTCCGCAAGGTTTATAGCTAAGAAAATTAGTGGTGCATGGCATCGTGCCCTAATGCAAATTGCTGAACTTCACGCACCGTAATTAAAAATTCGAGTAATGACATTAGTGAGAATTATCAGAATTATGCTTGATTAAGTCAACGAGCAATTCTTGCCGCCAAGAAATATGATGTACACGCACTGAATTTCACCATTGAATCAAAAATTGCTGGCAATTTGGTGACATACCAATGATTCCGACTGGTCTTCCGTTTGACTTCAAACGATTGCAATTTCCAGTTCGCCTTGCGTTCGCAATAACAAGTCGCAAGGCCAATCGCTTAGTGTTTTCGGGATAAATTTCAAATAGATTATTTAGAAAATCATTGTTTTTCACATGGGCAGTTATACGTTGCCTGTTCACGAGTTGGAAAACCATCCGCTTTGTTTGTGTTAACGTCAGACCAAAAAACAAAAAATGTGGTTTACCAAAGAGCACTTCAAGGAAACGGATAATTTGCGGATTCACTTTCATTTACTTAGAGAAGTTCAACTAAAAAACACTTCATTTTTGTAATCGAAATAAGTTCATTACTGTTGTGTAATAAAATCAAATTTTTCCTTTTCAAATATAAAACAAACAAAAAATTTCTTCATCTTTCTCACGAAACCATCTAGTGGCGAAACGGAGTTCATCGGGTTTTCTAGTATATATATATATATATATATATATATATATATATATATATATATATGTTTATCTTATATATAAAATTCTTCTGTAATAATGTATGAAAATATACTCCTCCTAAACGATTATGCGGATTTTGATAAATCTTTCTGAAGTTTGTTAAGGGATTTTTTTAGGATGTATGTGATTATAAGCATATAGTGACATTGTAGAAATAAATTGAAAAAATTGCATAAAACGACATGTCATTGTTTGACATTGAAAATATTTTGGACATTGTTTGGCATTAAAAACAAATGAAGACTGTGATCTGCCAAAAATTTCAATTCTCTTATGAGCCTAGACAATATTAAAATATGTGTAATAAATTCATGATTATGAATGAGGAAAATGAAATATCTGCATTATTATTGCTGAAAAGCAGCTGAGATGTGCCAGAAATTAAAATAATATAATATACAGTATATGTATGGCAGATTGAATGATACACATATGAACAGGATTTGACAAATTAATTCACTCAATTCACATTTTTTTCAATATAGTTCGACAAATATATAATTTCTTTGCATCTTTTATTAATCTTTGCACAATATCAATGATAAAGTAAAGATGAATACATACAATTCGGCCCTTACGATATCGATCAGGAGAAGTTTTAGATGCAATTTTGGATATATTAAATAATAAAAAAATAAATTAAAATAATCCAACATGAAGTACCAGTTAGGGTTTATACAAAAACCGACATTTCAGAAAACCGGTTTAACCGGTTTTCGAATTTTATATAGATAATAAATTTTTGCTCGAATATTCTGCAATTTATCCACAAATTTAGTGTTATTTAGTGCAGTATTTGAGTGAATTTATTTATTGTTCAACTTTACAACAAAATTATTTTAATTTTAATTAGTAGAACTAAAAAATAATAGTTTATCTTGATTAAATAACTTTGAAAATAATGATTCGTTATTCTTGCATCATTTTTGCATATAAGAATGAAAATATTTTTATGATAGTGAAAGGAATGTTTTCGAATGAATAAAAATAGTACATTTTTAAATAAAAAAAAACATTAAATTAAAAAAAAATAAAAAAATATTAGATACATGTTGATACATACTTGCTAATATCAATTTTAGTTTTAAAAACAATTAAGCCAAACTCGGGTATTGTCTGTTCCGAGCAATTATAATTAATTAATTTTAAACATTAATTTTAATTCTGATTGTTTTTTTGTTTAATAAAATATGATTTCAAAAACACTTAGAACGTCTATTAAATTGCTACTTAAACGTGTCCTTTGATTACTCACAAAATTTTGTGAAATAGAAAATACCCTCATACTTGCGACCAAATTATGCTTAATTGTTTTTAAAGCCTGATATAATAATTCTAAGTTTTTTGTTCTTTAATTTGTGGCTTCTAGGGTTTAAAACTCTTTTTTTTTTAAGTTTGAGTAGAGGAAGTTACTTCTTCAAGAAGAATTCACACTGATTTAAATTAATATATACACTGGTATAAAAATCTAAATTAATATATACAAAACCTTTCTGGGAACCATTGCAGACTGATAAGATATCGTATGCTACTGAACCGACATGATTTCAAGAATCAAAACGCTTGCATCTATCTTTTATATTTGGCTATATTCGTCATTTTCCATTCATACAGTGAAAACCGACTTTTTTCACTACAAAACTGGTTTTCGAATTCCATAATTTTCGCCAAAAAAACGGTTTTTGAAAACTGACAAACCCTAGTACCAGTGTTATTTATTCATTGTCTAACTAAAACTATTTCATGATAAAAGTTTGTTATAAATTCTTACCATGTTTAATCTCCTTTTAACAACATCAATATACTGGCAATTATCATTGATTCCAACATGAGGCGGTAGCAAGGTGCATTGTCTTGGATCATTTCTGCTTTGAATCGGTTCTAGTTGTCTATATGTTAAATTCGAATACTGTAGTATTCCTCTTGTTAAAAATGTGTAGACCGGAGTGTGAGGTTGTAGATTGAAGTCACCCGTTAAAATAATTGGAAGGTATTGAGGTCTGAAAATATAATAATAAATAAATAAATAAATATATATATATATATATATATATATATATATATATAAATATATCTGTAGGGCTTCATACAAAGAATCCAAAAAATAATTAAATAACAAAAAGTTTTTTGAAAAAACCATTTCTTTATTTATTTACTGTCGACGTTTCGGAACTAGGTATGTTCCATCTTCAAGAAATCTGACACTAACACTTCACTAAAAACGATTTTATCAAAATTTTAGTGAAAAGGTGTTAGTATATTAGTATAATCAATCATACAGGTAATTAATTCAGTTCTGCTTTTTCAGTAACCTTTTCTTGGAACTTTTTAAAACTTTTTAATTTTTTTACATTTTTAATATTTTGTTATATAATCCACTTATTTATTTTTATCAGTTTCATTTTGATTATATTGTCATATTTCTGTACATTATTTTTTCCATAATTTTATTCATTTTATATAAATAAAATACATCATCTTCTGCTTTTCTTAAATATATTGTTTGCTTAAATCTTAACAAGATCATGTTTCTTGACAGATGTCCTGAAGATGGATCGGACCTAGTTCCGAAACGTCGACAGTAAATAAATAAAAAAATGGGTTTTTAAAAAAGTTTTGATTTTTATTACTTTTTGGATTCTTTGTTCGAAGCTCTACAAAATATTTACAAATCCCATACTCTACCATCTAATATATATCTTATATATAAAAACGGAGCTCTCTTTCAAATGTCTTATTAAAACTCGAAAACGACTAAACCGATTTGGCCAGTCTCAGTCTTGAAAAATTCGTGCCGATCCAGAGATGGTCGGAAAGGTGAGATATTATTTCAAAATCGCGAAGAAACTTTACATTTTTAATTTGAAATTTTTTGTAGAAGCGTAATTTGAATAAAACAATGGACGGTGGCTAATACGTCAAATGTCAAACGCTTTTGACAGATGATGTTCAATTACGTTTAATAGGATGTTTTACGTGAATATTATTCAATTATGATTGAATTGTAGTAAGTAGATTTGTTTGTAGTTTTATTTATATACAAAAACGTTAGTAAACGAGCCGCAAGTGTTACTAGAGACTCAAAATATCAACTTTTCTGAAATGTTAATATGAAAACGCACTTTTTTATTTTTTCATATTTTTCTCAAACACAGTGCTCTGAAAGATCTCATTTGTATAATTATATACTCATTGGTATTTATAAAACATTTTCTAGGTTATATTATTTTTTATTTATGTTATTTAAATTCAGAACCTAAATTTGGTATCGATCAAATGGACATTTTGTCGAATAACATTTTCCCAGTTATAATTTCTCAGAATTTATCGAAGAATAGATAGTAATATATGGAGGTCCGGGGTTAAAAAGGTCCAGAACCGATGAGTCAAAAATCAGTGAAGTTAAGCATTGTTTAACAACAATATTTGAAAGCAGAGGAAAAAAGATGTATATCCAGCTATAACCTTGATTTGAAAACGGTAATCTTTGAAAATCCATCATAAAAGTATTTTCTTCAGTTGGTAGTTTTCCTTTAGCATTAGTTAAAAATGTAATTATTTTGTAAAATACCTTTAAAATTAAAATAAGACATTAAACCTGTTTGCCATCTGGCCGTTCCAAGTTACCCCGCCTATAGGGTAAAAAGGTTTAGATAACAAATTTTTGTAAGACATCAGAAAAGCACCTTTCTACAATGATGAAGTAGCTGACAGTTTTACTGAACGTAGTCAGATAATTGTTTGTTTGAAATGTGTCATTTATTGTGATAAAATTGGTTTGGTTTTCACAATATAATTTATATTTGCTCAAACTCAAATTGGACCTTTGTGCCTTGCCCTTGCTCGACATATATACTTTTTATTAAATTTATTTTAATTCATCGAATGTTACTTGAAACTTTTCAAAAAGCAGGTCAAAGAAGAAACACTTAATTCATTTTCTATATTCTCTCCTCGCAGAAATTTGAAATTTTTTAATAAGCTCAGTAGTATTATTTACAATTATACACAAAATCCAGAATCCAAAAAGAATCTGAAAAACTTGAAACGTAATCAATAAGTCGAAAGACCAAAAAAGACTTGGATTGGAAAGAAGTGTATAAAACTTGCAGTTTGATTGAATTGACAAAATATAGATAAACTAATGGGATTTATTGTTTTTATAATACCTCGTATAGCATCCAAACAACACATCATTATACACATTAAGTATTAATATTTTTAATTCTCTAGAAATTGTTTAGAATATACCTTACTTAGCAAAACAACGTTTGCCGGGTCAGCTAGTATATATATATATATATATATATATATATATATATATATATATTATTGTTATTATTATTAAAACTTGCAGTTTGATTGAATTGACAAATATAGATAAACTATGGGATTTATTGTTTTTAATACCTCGTATAGCATCCAAACAACACATCATTATACACATTAAGTATTAATATTTTTAATTCTCTAGAAATTGTTTAGAATATACCTTACTTAGCAAAACAACGTTTGCCGGGTCAGCTAGTATATATATATATATATATATATATATAATATATATATATTATTGTTATTATTATTACTTACAATCCATTCTCATCCCTGCCCATATAAGCCATTTTATCCAGTTCCGCGACCATCAATTGTGCCTGGGCCAATCTAACATCGCTCCTCTTTGGGTTATATAACAAATGAGTAGTAGCAACTACAATATCACTGTCCGTTGCATTATTCGCAAACTGGCCCTCATTAATCTTAAGCTTAATCACTATTCCAACATTATCCCTATTCAAAACCTCCACATTGGGCTGATAGTATTCGATAAGCTTATAATCTACCATTGTAAAAAGATTCGACTTGTAAAATATAGCGCTACCATCTTTATGCTCCATTGTGCGTTTTTTGTACACGTATTTATAATTAGCGGCATCAGGGCTTTGGTTAGATATGATATATGTTCTTGTTGTAGTTCTTGCAAACATATTATCTGAATAATAGTTTGGTAATAGAATCTGTATCATTGTTTTAGTTATTAAAGGTAGTTTTACCTCTGCATTGTAAGATATGATTTCTTCCAAGATTTTCTGAACCCGGTGTGTCCATGTGAGTGCTCTGGGGTCACTTGTTCGATAGAGGAATTTGTGCGATTCCAACAAGTTTTGTGCCAAAATGTTGAAGGACAGTAATGTGAACATGGAAGAGTTTGCTGGAATTTAGAGAATAATTTGAGATGTGTGAGAAGAATAAATACTACATTAAAACATTACTAGTCAGGTACATATTTGTAAAATAAACTAATTGTTTTATTTTGTTTATATATTTTTAATTGGACCGTTTAATTTGAAAGTGATCATCATTTGTACCGCGTTATATGAAAACACTTAAACTAGTGGTGTATGGCATCGTGCCTTAAGGCAAAATGCTGGAACATCCCGTACCGTAATGAAATAATCTATAGGAATTTTAAATGTTTTCAAATAGGCTATTAATAATACTGTAATTACTTTACACACAACTTTTATTATTCTTATTTTATAGACAAAATATAAGGAGCGTGTGAATTGAATTGGACGACGACATTTATATATTTTACAGAAAAGTATATAAACAAGAATTAGAATTGAAATCCGAACTATTTTCGATTTTAAAAAAAATAATTTTGAGCAATTAAAAAAAAAATCCCAAAAGCAATCGTTTCGTTAACACAAGCAGAAAGTTTTCTGAATCATTCAAATCGGATACCCCGTTCTCTCAAAAACACGATTTCTATTTTCTGCACTCTTTGCTCCGTATCTCCGTAACGGCTGGACCTGCCTTTGCCAAAAACTGATCAGCACGTCTCCTTATCAATACGAATCGAATGTTTTTTGAATCATTCAAATCGGTTGATCCGTGTTCACAAAATCGTCGACGAAAATTTGTATCCGCACACACACACACAAACATACATCAATTTTTCTAAGGTATGCCAAAATGTTCAGAAACCTTCAAAACGTGAAGAAATGTAAAAATTTTCAATTTCGATTTACCCTATGGTAAGTTAATAATTGAATATCAAAAAATTGCCATGTCATTATAGTCTTAAACTTTCTCGAATCAATAGAAAATAGTCTTACATCACTTTCAAATAAATGGTTCAAATATCCTAAATATATCTAGAATGTAAGTACTTCATTTACAACTTTCATATGACAATAGATACATCAAAGATTTGGGACATGATAATCAAGATTAAATTACAAAGACATAAATAATAAATAATATTTGTTAGCAATTATTATATGTAAATATATTTAATTTCATTTACTGGATAAATCCATCTTGGATTTTTATATTTTGTTAAGCTTCGAATAATAAATTCAGAAAGTAATAAAAAACCATCTTTAGATTTTCTGCCAAGAACATGAAAATATAATATAATATAATAAAAATTATATTTTATTATAATATTATTAATATAATATGTATGTAATAAAGATTATAAATGAATGAATTATATAAATAATATATAATACAAATTATGGCACAAATATTTCCAGAAAATTATTATCATTATCACAAGTTAACAATATTATTATTTAGAAATTATTTAAGTAATTTATGAAGTGTATCTTCATATTAGTGATTAACTTTTTTATTAAAAAAACATTTTAATGGTGTTTTAATATTTCCTTATATAATCATTTATATATTTTTTTATTATATATTATATTACAATCCAATTTTAATTATTTCTTTTTGTTTATTTTCTAATTAAGATCATATTCTTAACAGATGTCCCGATATATAATAATTATTCAAAAAACTTTTTGGATTTTTTAATGGAGTTCAAAATAATATAATAAAAACGTCAACAGTTATTACTTAATACTTATTACCTAAAAATTATTATTATTATGATTGATCTTGGTACCATGAATGAAAAACTTATATGATAAAACCATGAGTAAATTTAGTTTGGCAAAAAAATAGTCCATGAAAAAAAGGTGAATAATAAAAGATAATAATTTGCTTTACAATTTTATAAATAAATATTTGTACCATAAATTAGAAACAAATTTAGTTCAATGCAAATCTACAAAAATAGTATAAGAAAAAAGGTGAATATATTATATTACCTTGTTTTCTAATTTCATATAAAAATCTTTGTACGTTAAATTAAAAATAATTAAAAAAATACTGATGATGAGACGAACCTAGTCCTCGAGACCTTTGTGAAATTAATATTATTTAATAAAATCGTGCAAAAAGAGTGCTGTTTGTTCATATTTCTAAATTAATATATATATATATATATATATATATATATATTACTTTGTATTTAATTTCATAAAAAAAAATTCTAAAAATTAAAAACAAATAAATTTAGTTACGCAAGTTACTAAAAAGGTAGTCAATAAAAAAAAGTACTATTTTTTAGAATATAATTAAAAAGAACTTCAGTTTTGCAAATCTATGGAAATATTATATGAAAAAAAGTTAAATTTATCATTTATTACCTTGTTTGGTTCCAAAATTTTGCCCAAGGCTCGTATTATTCCATTTCCTAAAGCCTTTCAATCTTTTACTCTCGGCCAAACAATCCTCTTGATATTTATCATAATCAAATTCCTCGTCTGTGTTAGATTTAGTAGCAGCCATGATTTTATAATAGTCGTTAGCTCTGCAAACACTATCAAGATTAGTAGTTTTCAGACTGACATCTTTCCTGGTAGGGTCCTGGGTCAGCAAGGGGCTCGATTCTAATAAACTGAAAATCTTGGAGTTATTTTGCTGAGACATACTTTTGTCATTTTTCAACCTGTCTTCGGGTAAATAGATAGCTTTTTTGTTTTTCCTTATGGCACCCATAGGATTAGAGCCGATAGCTTTGGCCAGTCCATCTTTAAAAATTGATGTGGGGCTTGACGAGGAGTGCCCTTTAGTTTTTGTGGACATGCATTTTATATAGATATTTATTATACAACTTGGCCGGAGGTTGTAAAGACATAGTAAGGTTTTTAACATTTTACATGGCAATGAACTGTCATTACAAAAGGTTAGGTTTTGACATGACTCTAAAAACAAATGAATATTACTTCGGAAAGTGGAGAATAAATTGATTTACTTTACCAATTATTGACTTGTAACAATAACAGATGGATTAGGAATATCGGATACATTATGTCACAGATAATTTTTAATGATGTTCACCTTGGTATCTTGTTTATGACATGCGGTCACTTTTGGCTTTTGTTGCCAAGATCAAAAAATACTTGAGGTTATATCTGTAAACTGTCAAAATTAATTTGTACCAATACTATTTCTTCTAGTATGTTTGATGATTATGATTTCAATATTATTATTATTATTATTATTACTCATCTGGTTAATTGAATTTGTTCTTGATCTTGCATTTATAATTAAAATTCACGAACTGTTTATTCGTTAAAAGTCGGGTAAAAACGAGTTTGATGTTTGTTCGATACAAAACACATAACTACACACACACACTCCTATTCATATATGTATGCATAGATAAAAGAAGCGTATATATATATGTATGTATGTATGTAACGGCGAAAAAACAAAATTAACAAATCGGATTTTCTGGCGAAAATGAACGAAGAATTTGAAAACTAGTGGCGCATGGCATCGTGCCTTAAGACAAATTGCTGGAACTTTCCGTACCAAAAATTGATATTTTTAAAAAGGCTTTAAAATTTGTTGAAAACTAAAACAATGAGGTTTTTGAGAATATTCAAAAAAATTTGTCATTTTTTGAATGATTTTAATTTTATCCATGGATTTAACTTGATTTCATATTCAAATTAGATAAAATATGTTTTAAAAAATCCGTGGATAGTTATCCATATTCATATCATCAGTAGTGGTAAGGGATCATATTTATCTCAGTATAATTGTTTATTATTATTTATATTCAACTGTCACTTTACTGTTTGACATTTCGGTCGGTGGCGCCATCTAACACAGAACTATATGAACTCGGTAGTCACTACGTAGTTCCCAGAAAACTGGGAACATTTTTGCATAGAGGCGCTGCATGCAATCGTCTTAGAAAAGTAGGAATCTTAGTGGATTCACATTGGATTCCTTTATACGCTATTAGATATATAATTATGGTCCCGGTTTTGAAGGAATATCAATATATACATTTATATATCGCTTTATACGCTATTATAAATATAATTATGGTCTCGGTTTTGATGAAATATTAATATATAGATTTATATATCGCTTTATACGCCATTATAAATATAATTATGGTCACGGTTTTGATGGAATATCAATATATACATTTATATATCGCTTTATACGCCATTAGATATATAATTATGGTCCCGGCTTAAAAGAAATATCGATACATACATATATATATATATATCGCTTTATACGCCATTAGATATATAATTATGGTCCCAGTTGTGAAGTAATATCAATATATACACTTATATATCGCTTTATACGCCATTAGATACATAATTATGGTCCCGGCTTAGAAGAAATATCAATATATACATTTATATATCGCTTTATACGCCATTATATACATAATTATGGTACCGGCTTTGAAGAAATATCAATATATACATTTATATATCGCTTTATACGCCATTAGATATATAATTATGGTCCCGACTTAGACGAAATATCAATATATACATTTATATATCGCTTTATACGCCATTAGATATATAATTATGGCCCCGGTTTTGAAAGAATATCAATATATACATTTATATATCGCTTTATACGCCATTACATATATAATTATGGTCCCGGCTTAGAAGAAATATCAATATATACATTTATATATCGCTTTTAATTTAATATTCAAGTAAAATATGTTTAAAAAATTGTGAATAATGGTTTTTACTTGATTTCATATTCAAATTGAGTAAAATATGTTTTAAAAAAAAAACGTAAATAGTAGTACATGGTTTTAACTTGATATTCAAATTGGGTAAAATGTGTTTTAAAAAAAACCATGGACACTTTTATGCTAATTACTTAGAAAAGGGTTGGTCAATCATTGTATAAAACTAATCAACGCGAGTCCTTATTGAGATACATCAAATGGCTTTTATAATTTCAAAATCCGTTCAGCAGTTATTGAGAAAATGAATAAATAATGAAGTTAATGAAGAAGTTCTAAACCTATAGTCCAAACAAGCATGTAAATATAAATTTTATTAGAACCCTATAACATTTATATTTACATTTATCAACTAATGGCAATTAACTTTAGGTAAAATTTTTGTCAATTCATGAAACAGATTGTAAATAAATGTATATTGCTTATAATCATACAACTGATTCTAATTCGAGATGCAATTAAACACATTTTGGGACATTCACAAATATATTCTCTTCTATTTTTATAATTATTCACACTAGTTGTTCCTGACTATTTGCTGATATATCCATTAACCTCCATGCCGCTTTTGGATTTAGTTCTTGTGGATCCCGACACAAGACCCAGACATAATTGACCCGCATTACTTTCTCTGGATGTCCTTCTACAACTGTGTGTTTAGAATCCCGGACACACATTATTTGCTGAGTTTGAAAAGTAATGATTAAGACAGGACCTTGTTCCATAACTTTACCCATAGCTAAATCAACATTTTCAATATCTAAAATCTTAGAATCCAAATAATAGCCTAATTTTTTAGCCTGAGTTAAAGGAGTTGCTAGGATGCTGTAGGTGCTCTCGAAACACCAGTCTTTGAGGATTTCTAGATCGCCTCTGACCATGGCTTCTAATATATTTGGTATAATATCGTTCTCGCAATCTTTTAAAAACTGTTTTTGCTCGAAATTCGGATCAATTTTACAGATTTCTGTTAATGTTTCTGAAAGTTCTGTTTTTTGAAATAAATTACCCATTATATCTGAAACTTTATCTGTTAATACTCTAGAGGCTCTGATAACTGGATTTTCTGACTCGTCGTACTTTATTTTCCAGTCAAGGACTTTATTTACATAAGCATTATTGTCTTTGAAATTTTGCCAGGACTGTGCAAACTTTGAATCTTTATGCAGTTCTACGCCGGTGGCATCCACATTAGGCTCATAACTTTTAGTATCAGCTACATCAGCAGTTTCATTTCTTTTTCTTAATTTTTGTAAACCTTGATATACACGGCCTTGTATACCTTGATTGTCCATTTCTTTTTTGACAGCCTCCGTGGCTTGGGAAATGGTTTTGAATGCTCCAGTTGTTCCTAACTTTTGTGTAGTCTCTGACAGGGTTTCACCAACACCTTTAGCTGATTTGCCAAGTTCTTCAGTGATTTGTGATGCCTTTTTGGCAAATTCAGTCTTTCCAGCTTCTTCCATAGCCTCGTGCACTTTGCTTTTGATAGTACCTAGTTTTTCCCTGAACACTTCGGTGCTCTTTGAAGCTTCTGATTCGACATTGTGGAATTTTTGTCTGGCTGACTTTAGTGCTTCTGATTGTTCCAATTTTTCAGCTTCGGCTCTGAATTTCTTTAAACTCTCTTTCATCTCTTTATTTTTTGCCATATCTTGTTTGACATTTTCTATAAATTGAGAGAAAAATGATGATCTCTTAGTCGAATACTGCAAGAACATATAATAAAAAATTTATATATCAGTTGAAATGAACATTTATACAACTTTATAAAATTATTACCTGGGATTGTTGGAAAACTGTGGTACTACCCAAATTCGTTGCCCCAATTTTGAGGCCACAAGGTAATTGTTGCAGCAAAGTGCCACATTTTAGATAACGATACTGAAAACAAATCAAATTCAATTACTAAACAACAATAAAACATTTTATTCACACTTTCACAAACAAATAACTTGTAAAAATCAAAAATTTTCAATCACTATATGACATAACCTAACTTTTTTTTAAGGCTAAATTATCAATCAATTTCTAATAAGGCTAAGTTTTTAATTACCATTTTTATATGAAAGGACTAAATAAATTTATATACAAAAATAAAAATTCTGACAAATTTATTTGAAAATAATGCCCGATAGGGATAAAAAAAAATACTATCCAAAAAAATCCATGACACTTCACTAATTTGGACAGGCGCGAAATGAACTTGAACACGAAATTTGAATTAAATATGACAAATATTGCGTAATGGATTTAAATCATTTATTTAAGATACATGGATATATTAATATAATGTTAATGAATTTCATAACTAAGAATTTTATAAGCATGAAGTTTCCGACACGTGCTAATAATCGACTTGTAATCAATAAGAATCATATAAGACTTGAGGTTCCATATAAAAAATGTTTGATTGTGAACTATCCACACTATCCGGTATTTCCGTAAAGAAAACATATAAAGTATTATACATAGTTAGAAAGGTCTCAAAATTCTTTGTTTTTCCCCCATATATTGCAACTTCGAATTCCGAACGGTGTGGCCTACATGCAAGTCGCAATTAAAAAATTCAAGGAAAACTGGAAAATCTTGAGAAAATTATATGAACACACTTAACGATTTATATATCATTTTATTCGTAATTTTATTCTGCATCTTTCGTACGAACAAAGTTTTTTTGTATCTTTTACGGTTTAGATAGTATAAGGCAATCTGTGTGATTATTCACTTGTTGAAATGCAAAGTGCGGTTAGGTTCCAGCAACTATCCACACTATCCGATATTTCTCCAAAGAAAACATATAAAGTATTATACATCGTTAGAAAGGTCTCAAAATTCTTAGTTTTTTCCCCATATATCACAACTTCGAATTCCGCACGTTGTAGCCTACAGGCAAGTTGCAGTAGTAAAATTCAAGAAAAATTGGAAAATCTCGAGAAAATTATATGAACACACATAACGATTTATATATCATTTTATTCGTAATTTCATTCTGCATCTTTCCTCCAAACAAAGTTTTTTCGTATCTTTCACTGTTTAAGAAAAAATCGTGAAAAACTGGTGAGAATATGTATTGTAAAATTGGTAAATTCAAAAAAAAAAAAAAAAAAAAATTAAAAAAATATGACTATATATAAATTTGTTTTATATTCGTTGAGATCTATAAAAATCAATAAATACATATAGTAATAGAAAAGTTTATCTAGTTGGTATTGGTATTTTGCCTTGAGGCAAGTTACATGAACTTCCCGATATGTGTTAATTATCGACTTAATCAATAAAAAAATAAATTAATTGATGAATTATAAAAGTATTCTGAGTGGATTAATCACACATCATTGAAAACGAACGAACACGTTAACTCGAAGTATTTTCTAAAAGCAAATTTTCAAAAATCAACAATTTTTATAATTGAACCAGTTTCCGTAAGACTTTAATGGTTTAGTATGTTCATCAAGACCATGTACTCTATCATTATACCAAGTAAATCGTCTAACTACTCAATTTTCAGCTCAAGTTTGGGAAATGGTTTTGAAGGCTCCGGTTGTTCCTAGCTCTTGTTTCTGAACAGGCTTTTCCATAAAAAATGATGGTCTATGGACCTGCCTTAGTCATAATTAGATAATCACTTACTGAATTGATTCCTATAGAAATATATATATTTCTAATTCTATAGAAATATATACATTTGAGAAAATAATATTAGCTTTATATTAATCTTATCACAATGAAAATAATAGGTGATAGCCCTAGGGCAGGTCCATTAGTTGGGTTAAACTCCAACTTGATTCAGAGAAAACTAGTGTGAGAAATTTCCCATTACCATTATACACCGCAGTGCCTGAAAATAGGCTATTTTTAATTGAAAATAAATTTTTCATCTATATTTCCATCGCTACGGCCATAATCTTATCATAATAGCTTATAAAATTGAATTACTATTCACAAGTATAACTATTCTACTAAATCTGAATTCGTCCAAATTTATAAATGTTTAATCTCATGTATTCCATTATAAATAATTACATCTCATGATAAATAATTATGTATATCTCAAATATATCAAAAAGCACAAAAGTCTCAATAGTACAACCAATGCAATGCTGCAAGTACGTATAAATATATAAAATAAGGTTAAAATATCTCAAAAACTGCATCCATCATTTTTTGTATCTAATTATAGATTAGAAACGTATATCAAAAAATTCATACAAAAATATTTGTAAAATTATTAGCTTAAGTAAACAACGCATTTGTTCAGCAAAAGTTACAAGCTCTTATATCAGTATCAGTACGATGGGGGATTTCTTAGATTGCTTCGATGCTCCAAATTTTTGTATTGCAGTCTTGACCAACAGAAATCAGAGTCTCGTTGTCCAGCCAAACTAATCGAGTGATTTGGCTTTGAGGATGGGCATCTGTAATTGATAATTAAAAATTAATAATAACAGATTAAAACAATAAAAAAAGGAGTGCGCATAAGGTTCACACGCGATTGAAGTAAAACTTATTTGCTACTGTACAAGATGGCATATAAGTAATAATTAATATGGCATATAAGTACAAATAAATACATCATATAACAATTTTGAATAATTTTTGTTACTTACTAATATGGTAATACTCGTGATGCACACATTTATTAGTGTCAATGTCAACCATTATACACATTTATATAATGATGAATTATAAATTATATATTTATAATGGCAATAAAAATATGTATAATATTTAAAAACAATAATGTTATTAAAGTCATACTTCAAATATGACATGATCGGTTTGTCATTGTAATTAGCATTTAGAAATGAACCTTCAAAGAAACGAAGTGATTGCTGATTAATAAATTCTATAATATTCGTTCACACAGTGGATTATTTTGAGCAACGCCGAAACAAATATTGTTTTTGCAACTTCACTCATCATGTAATAATTGTGTTTGAAGAACTTCATGTAATTAAAATTAACATACATTCATTGACTGCTTGTATTTCATTTTATCTTATTGCTGGCGATATAATCTCATTCTTTGAACAGCTGTAATATCTGTCTTGCGTAAAAAATATTTTTCATTATAAAGATTTATAGAAACTACGAATAATATAGAAATAATTTCTAATCAATAAACTTACGTTTAGTACACGGCCCAAATGTTTAATTTGTTATATTATTTTCAAGGAACACGGTAAAATATTCTTCTGATTCAGACATTTTTCATTAAATCAAGATTTGTACTACGATGTAACTTTAAAATGTTTATTTATCTATGCCGATTTCCTTGTTGATGCCGGTACGCATACAACGTTGATGCCGGTACGCATACAATGACAGATCTCTATTCACATACACGACGTCTAATCACAATCGACCCGTATAGAAATGATCTCATCGAGAGCAAATGACCAACAGTTCGGGCGTAACGGACTTCCGTTGCATTTGTACGGATTTACATCCTAGTCGTGCCTAAAGAAGTTTTACTTCAATAATTCGATATTTGGATAGATAGATATCATCATATTTTTAATACATTTTATAAATTTATACCGGAGTTTATTTACAATGAATAAATTTCAGCATTTTTACTGCCAAGAGCTTTAAAGGGTATTCTGGTCTAAAATTTTTAAACAATGATTTTGCTTTTTTTTAATTTCCTCTAGGGTAAGTTATAGTAATTGTCCAAAAATCGCAATTGAAAACTTTTATATATCTTTACGTTTCAGAGGTTTCTGAACATTTTGGCATACCTCAGAAAAAATGGATGTGTGTGTGGGCGAATACAAATTTTCGTCTACGATTTCGCGAACACCGATCACCCGATTTTAATAATTAAAAAAACATTTTACTTGTATTAACACTGATTAAATTTTTGGGAAAGCAGGTCCAGCAGTTACGGACTCTCAATAAAAATAAGTTTAAAAAATGTCGTTTGGCGGTCAAAAATGTTTATTGGTCATATGTACATCAAATTATCAGATACTTTATAGAGATTTTAATAATGTGTACACATTTTGTGTAATTTTTTTGGGTTCCGTACCAAGATTTTTAATTACGGTACGGAAAGTTCCAGCAATTTGCCTTAAGGCACGATGCCATGCACCCCACTAGTTTGAAAATAAGAACGGCTTATAGAATGTTATATGATCTAAATAAATATTAAGCTATAAAACATCAAGCTGGTCAAGGTGAGTATCAAATCTGGTTGCTAATTCCTGTTTTTAATACTTAAGTCATAAATATTAAAATAAAATATTAGGCAACAATTGGCTTGATTTATTTATCAATAAATGCAAATCATATAAGGTTTACTATGCATTGTATATTTATTTATACATTCTATTACATACAAAAATAAATAAAATAAATAATAAATAAATAAAAAATATTCTAAATATTCTAAATAAATCTTTTAATAAGATTGATTATATTTCAATTATTTTCATCACACTTCCCACTATGAAGTTCCATGTGTCTCTTCAAATCATTCGGTTGAGTGAATCCCTTATTGCATAATTCACATTTATAAGGTTGCTCTTTGTAATGAACCAGCTTGTGTTTTTGCAGAGTACTTGATTCCCTGAATCTCCTATGGCATATACTGCATTCAAGTGGACGCTCACCGCTGTGAATGAGTATGTGACCTTTCAGATGACTCAATCGTGTGAATGTCTTATTGCATACACTGCATTCATAGGGGCGTACTCCATCGTGAAGGCGCATGTGACGTTTTAAACTACCTGCTTCTGTGAATGTTTTATTGCATATCTCGCATTCATGGGACCCACTATGCATGCGCATGTGCCTTTTGAGTTTATTTAATTCTGTGAAAGTCTTATTGCATACATTGCATTCATGGGATGGTACTTCGTTGTGTGTTATCATGTGGTGTTTTAGACTATCTGCATCTGTGAATGCCTCATTGCATATATTGCATTCATGCTGCTTTCCACTGTGACTAAGCATGTGCTTTTTAAGTTCACTTGATTCTGTGAATGCCTTATTGCATAGTTTGCATTCATGGGTTTGTACTCCATTGTGCATAAGTATGTGACGTTTCAAATCATCAGGTTCTGTGAATGTCTTATTGCATTTACTGCATTCATTAACATGCTCACCGCTGTGAATCTGCAAGTGCCTTTTCAGCTTACTAAATTCTGTGAAAATTTTATTGCATACATTGCATTTATGAACATGCTCACCGCTGTGAATCTGCAAGTGCCTTTTCAGCTTACTAAATTCTGTGAAAGTCTTATTGCATACATTGCACTCATGTGGTCGCAGTCCTTGGTGCCTCAACATGTGACGTTTTAGAGTACTTGATTCTGTGAATCTCTTATTGCATATATTGCATTCATGAGGACGTTCACCACTGTGCACAATCATGTGATTTTTTAGATGATCTATTCGATTGAATGTCTTATTGCATATGCTGCACTCATGGGAGCGTACTCCTAAGTGAAGAAGCATGTGTCGTTTCAGACTACCAAATTCTGTGAACGTCTTATTGCATATATTGCATTCATTAATATGCTCACTGCTGTGAATGAGCATGTGTCTTTTCAGTCTACTGGGTTCTGTGTAAGTCTTACCGCAAAAACTGCATTCATGGGGGCGTTCTTCATTATGTAACAGCATGTGGCTTTTCAGATTACGTAATTGTTTGAATGTCTTATTGCATACATCGCATTCATGACGACGTACTCCATTGTGTGTCATCCTCATATGACGTTTCAGACTACCTAATTCTGTGAATGTCTTATTGCATGTAGTGCACTCATGAGGGCGCACACCACTGTGAACGAGCAGGTGTCTTTTCAGATTACTAAATTGTGAGAATGCTTTATTGCATTTATTGCATTTATATGGACATTCTTCAGAATGTGTAAACATGTGCGACTTCAAGCCTCTTGATTGTTTGAAAGTCTTACAACAGACTTCGCATTTGAAAGGGCGTTCTTCGCTATGACTGGGCTTGTGATCTACCATATGCTCCTTTAACTGATGCGATTCTGCAAATAATTGATTACAAATGTCACATTCATACGTTGTTTCCTCTTTGACTTCTTCTATAGTTACTTCTGAATCCATGAATCTTCCTAAACACGTTTCATCGTTCTCAGAAACCGATTCAGATTTAACCTTAACATCAAGAACGTCAATTCATCTTTCATTTCTTGTTTAATATCCAATTCATTTCCAATTTCTTGTTTATCGTCCAATTCACCTGCAATTTCTTGTTGAACATCCAATTCATCCTCTATTTCTTGTTTAATATCCACTGCTGAAAAATCTGGTGGTTCAATTTTAATTACATTATCATAGATAACCACCATTTGTTCTTCCGACATTTTTAAATATTTTCACTGCCCCAATATACTCACTAAATATTCGTGTGCTAAATAATATCTAGTTAAATCAACAATCTGATTTAATATGATAAAGATTTCAACTTTACTTGCATTTATTATTTGACATTTGAAGCATAGAGTATATTTTCAGAAAGATGAGACATCTATTCAAGCGCATTGATATTTAACAAGATGGCGCGTTATTTAAAATTCAAAATGGTTCACTATGTACCAAACTGTCTGCCTAACACTTATTAAAATATTTTTATTCGGACGAGCTGAATGAGACACAACAATTTGAACTGATTTTGAGTAAATAGAATATATTTTTAGGTTTTTATAATTGTATTATAACTGTATTGTACACATAGTTCAGTCATTTAGAAGTTTTAGTAGTAAATTGTATGATTTAAAACGTTAAATTTTCAGCAAAACCTAGTGGGGTGCATCGTGCCTTAAGGCAAATTCTTCGTACGAAACGCAAAGAAATTTACACAAAACGTGTACACATTATTAAAATCTCTATAAAATATCTGATAATTTGATGTACATATGTCCAATAAACATTTTTGACCGTCAAATGACATTTCTTTAACTAATTTTTCTTAAGAGCCCATAACTTCTGGACCCGCCTTTCCAAACAATTAATCAGTTCTTCATATTGTCAATACAAATAAAATGTTTTTTGTATTATTAAATTCGGTGGCTCCGTTTTCTTAAAAACTGAGTTACCCTTTTTGGCACTTTTTGCTCCGTATCTTCGGCATGGCTAGACTGCCTTCGCCAAAAACTAATCAACACGTCTCCTTATCAATACAAATCGAATGTTTTTTGAATTATTCAAATCGGTTGATCGGTGTTCCCGAAATCGTCGACAAAAATTTGTATCCGCACACACACACACTTTTTTTTAAAGGTATGCCAAAAGGTTCAAAAACCTTTGAAACGTAAAGATTTTCGGCCTTTCAGAATTCATTTCAGAGGCATCGTTTCTTGGGTAAAGTAGCTTATTTTGATCACTAATAGAATCCGAAAATTATATGTGCATAAGTGACTTTTAAATCGACGCCGCC